ATCAGTACTTTCGACAGTCTTTTGTTCAACTTCTACAATTTTTGAATCGATAGTTCTGGTACTTTCAGGAATCTTTTGGTCAGTAACTTCAGTACTTTCAACAATCTTTTGTTCAATTTCAATTTTTGAATCTTTAACTCCAGTACTTTCAGGAATCTTTTGTTCAATTGCCGAATCAGTAACTTCAGTACTTTCAACAATCTTTTGTTCAATTTCAATTTTTGAATCTTTAACCACAGTACTTTCAGGAATCTTTTGTTCAATTGTCGAATCAGTAACTTCAGTACTTTCAACAATCTTTTTTTCAATTTCTACAATTTTTAAATCGTTAACTCCGGTACTTTCAGGAATTTTTTGTTCAGGTGTTGAATCATTAACTTCAGTACTTTCAAGAATCTTTCGTTCATTTTCTACAATTTTTGAATCGTTAACTCCAGGAATCTTTTGTTCAGTTGTCGGTTCATTGCATTCAAGAATCTTTCCAGTTTTTACAGTTTCTACAGTTTCTACAGTTTCTATAGTTTCTACAATTTCTAAAATTTCTATAATTGGTGAATCATTAAAATTTCGGTACAATAAAAATAAATTAAGTGTTATCGGAAAAATAATAATTTATTAAGTAAATAAAGAATAATTTTACCTTCAGTGGCTTCTTCAATTTGTTCAGAATCTAAAGCTAGATAATTAAATATACAATAATTATGTTAAAATTAATTAAATTTATTTGTTAACGGTTATAAATAAAAAATGATGAAATTATATTAATTACCAGCTCCAATACTTTTATTTTCCGTTACTATAATATTCAATAATTAAATTAAGTGTTATATTAAATAAATAATAATTTATTTAGTAAATGAAGATATTATTACCTTTGGTGATTTCTAAAATCAGATTTGTTTAGAAATATTTTAAATGCACAATAATTATGTCAAAAGAATTAATTTTTTGCGAACATTTAATAATTTAGAAATAAAAAAATATTGAAATTATATTAATTACCACGAGAATTATTTGAACTATCAGCCTCGGTACTTTTATTTTCAGTTACTATAATATGCGATAATTAAATTAACGTATTAAATGAATAATAATTCATTTGTATATAAAAATATTATTACCTTTAAGTTTTAAATCAGTTGGAGCTAAAAATTTTTACATATAAAATATTATGTTAAAATAATCAATTAATTTTTATTGGTTTGGAAATAAAATATTAATTACCAGGAGAATTATTTGAGCTATCAACTATATTTTCCGTTACTATAATTTATATTAATATGTAATAAATTAAATAAAGTGTTATTAAATAAATAATAATTAATTTAGTAAACAAAAATATAATTACCTGAAGTGACAGTGGTTTTTGAAACAGTTTGTTTCGAACCAGTTTGTTTAGAATCTAAATTTAATTTTTACATGTAAGATATTACGTTGAATATTTAATGGATTAATGAAATTATGTTGATTACCGGAAGAATTATTTGAGTTATTTTCCGTTATTGTAACTATAACAATATGCAATAAATTAAATAAAGTGTTATTAAATAAATAATCATTCATTTAAAAAATAAAAATATTATCACCTTCAGTGGTTTCTAAAATAGTTTGTTTCGAACCAGTTTGTTTAGAATCTAAAGCTAAATGTTTAAATACAAAATATTATGTCAAAATAATTTGGTTTTGCGAACATTGAATGGATTAGAAATAAAATAACGGAATTATATAATTACCAGGAGAATCATTTGAGTCACCGACTCCGATATTTTCCATTTCTATGTTATGTAATAAAATAAAATTAAGCATATAAGATAAATAATAACTCATTTAATGGGTAAATAAATAGAATATTACCTTCGGCGATTTTTAAATCAGTTTGTTTAGAATCTAAAACCAAATTTATAAGTTTTTTTTTGTAATGTTACGTTATCGTTATAATTTTAAGTTTTTTTGAAAAAAAGATATATATCAATTTGTATATAAAATGTTACCTTTCGGAATTAATTGTTTAGTTTCATAAGCTAAATGTATGTAAATGTAAGCAATATTATGTTAATATGAATTAAATTATGCAAAATAATATAAGTTAACTTACCTCGTTGTTCTTCTATAAATGAAAATTAATAAAAAAATTAATAAAAATTATAAACTAAAATAAATTAAATTAATTAAAAATAAACGTGAAGATAGATGACATTTCTAAGTTGGTTACTTTTACCTTTTATTGAACTATTAAATTGAACAGTAGGTTCTTGTTTATCCATTTCTTCAAATAATTTTTATTTTTATTTTTTTTTTTTAAATTGTAACTATTATCGGGATTAGTATCCCACATTGTTTCATTAAAGTCGCATCGCATATTCGTCTGTTTGTTACTTCCGTTACTTCTGCTTCCCATCAACATTTGTCACACAAACAAAATTTAATAATTAGATAAATTAGATAACATTTCACGCTATTGTAACGTAACGTAATTATTTCTTCGTTTCACACCGAATAATTAAGTATAATTAAGTATAATTGATATTGTTGCTCATTGTTTCCAAATAAACTAGACCTTTTAATAAATTCGAGATTGATAGACAGGATTATCCTTACTTCATTTATTGAAATTCAAGGGCATGCTTTGCATTACATATTACATAGTTATACTCAAGTATTGCCGTATTAGGATCGATTTATAAACTTGTGGTACAAACAATATTAAATATTCCCAAAATTTTTTTTTTGTTATTCCGTTTACTAAAAATGATTACCAAATTTTATGACCGTCTATCAAACGACGACCTTATGCGACCTTGAATGACTATAATGTCACAATTGAAGTTGGCGTAGCACCGGTTAACCAAATTTTTAAAGTACATTCTTATATTTTACAATCATGTAGTCCTTATTTAAAAAAGAAATTCAACGAAATTACGTTCAAAAAATAATTCTATTAAAGTATTTAATGTCATTATTAAGCAAGCATAATTCTATTATATTTTTCATTATTTTATAATTAATAATAATAATTTAGGTACATTTACAGTGGAACAATTTCGTTAGAAAAATTAGAGAATTCAATAATTTTTGACCTCCTGATTGCTTCCCATGAACCTTGATCTTGATGAAATAGTTGAGCATATCCAAACTCATCTTGTTATCAACAATGCATCTTAATTAAAATTAAATTTTTTACGAGTTTATCAAATAAGTTATCAGACGAAAACTTTGAAAATTTTATAATGGACAAATGGTGATGAAAAGGTATTGGAAAAGTTTTATTCATACTAATAACTTTTTGAACCTGAACTGTGGACAGACATAAATACTACCGTAAATTTGTCGTCCAAAAGCCCCAGGTCCTTTTCACCCCATCTCCCAAAACTTTTATCCGGGGGGATATTACAGGTGCCAGGACAGTTAGCATTTGTACGAAAAATCAAATTTCACTGTGGTACTTTCTTGTATGGCAGATGGTAATAAATTATCATCAATGATAATTTTTAAGCTTGTAAATATTCCCAACTGTTTTGTAATTCGTGTAAACTGCGAAGGATCTATGAATTCAAATGAGATGATTTCGTGAAGTGAAAATATCTGGAATCGACGTGCGCCAAGATCTATTGATTCTCATTCATTACTTGTATTAGATTCAATTAAAAAAATGCCAATTTGACTGTTATTTCAGGTAAAGATAACACTCATGTTTCCATAAATCAATAATTTATTCTGCAAGTTCACAATCATTTGTAAGTCCCATCTGTGAATGAATAAACAAAAATGGACGGACTATTAAATGGAATGATAGTTTTTTTTCATTTTATTTTACTTATTTTGTTATTTATTAATTTTTTTGTTTCTCGGATAAAAGAACAGATAAATGAACAAATGGATAATCAAAATGTGGACTAATAAATAGGAATTGGTAGTTTGTTTATTTATTTTTTTATTTCGTTTTTATATTTATTTATTTTTTAAAAAATATTTATTTTTTTATTCTTGTGATGAACGAATCAGTGATTAGTACAGATTAATGGACGATTGAAATAAACTAGTGAATAGACAGTAGATAATATTGGGTTTTCTTTATTTTCTTATTATTTTATTTTATTAATTGTTTTTTAATAATAATTTTTTCTTGTTTCTTGTTTCTTGCGATGACAGAATCAATAATTAGCATAGACAAATGAACTAACAGATGATTGAAATAATGAATGAAAGGGATGGGGATAAAATGGTTGGTTTATTATTATTTTAGGTTTATTTTTTATTTTTTAGTTTTTATTTTTTATTTTTATTTTTTATTTGTTTTTTATAATTTTTTCTCTAATTAATAAATTAATAATCAGTGAACTTTCAATTGAACGATAAATTAATATTTTGTTAGTAATTTTAAATAGTTGAAGAGGAATCCAATAATATTTTTTTTTTTGTTTTTTATGATGAGCAAGTAAATAATCGAATAAGTGAATGGATGAATGAATTAACAGGGCACCGAACTGACAAATAAGCGTGGACAAAATGGTAAGTTTTTATTTTGTTTTTTTATTTTCTATTTTATTTTTTTTAATATATTTTCATTTCCGTAATAAACATATGGATGATGGATGAATGGATGATCAGTGAATGGACAAGAGAACAGATGACAGAACAAAAGAATAATGAATAAAATGGCAGACCCATGTCTTTCCAATATCATGTCCTCCAATTTGTAAAATTATTTTCTAAATATTTACGAATAAAAATTCACAATATTGGATTGCTTGTTCTTTAGAATTATCCCCAATTCTTGATGGATCGTAGTCATCCTGTAATTTACTAAATAAAAATTTCTTTTCATTTTCCATGAGAGATGAATCATTTTTAATGAAATCCCTTTATTATTTTTCTTGCTCAGTAATTGTTTTATGAATATTGGTGTCTAGAGAATAAAATGACTCATTCCATACACTTTGAAAATTTTTTTCCATTTTCTATTTCTTGAATAGCCATTTTCTATTTAAGTTAAAGTTTACATAATTTAAATATTAATTAATGTATAGTTTATTGTTTAATAATATTAAAATTTAGAATTATTGTGGATTTGGTTTTTGTTATTTATTTAATAACAGATTATAGATAAGGTTTATTATTTAAATTGACTTTAAATATTTTGCTAATTAAAATTGAACCGTACGAGTTGCATTAATGTATAATATGTAATATATAAATTAACGGCACATAGAATATATTTATATAAAGTTAGAGAGTAAGATTTAGACGAATGATAATATTTAATAGTATAATAAAATAGTAAAATACTTAAAATTTATTTGCTGAAAATTTTCGGAGGATTGTGTCCTAAAGAAATATTTTAATTATCCTCGTTACTACTTTTGTTACTTCTGTGCTGTATCAAACAAAATTATTTCGATCAAAATATATTACATAAATATATATAAATAAAGAGTTATAATAAATAATTATTAAATCAATTGGGTAATTTTATACATTTAAAGGATATCGAAGAAGCATTTCAAATTAAAGTAATAATATTAATAGCAGTAGTCAAATAAACATATACTAGTTCTAACAAATATAAAGCTAAAATAATGAACGAATGTATAATAAATATGAACAACAACAATCAATAATAACAACTACAATAATAATAATGTTTTATAATTAATCATTTACTTGTAAGTTTCGAGATAAATTTGATAAATTCAAATGAAATAATGGATAGAATTATGTAGAATAATAGAAGAATAATGGAATAGAACAATAATAATAAGAATAATTGATAATGATTATTATATAATTCTTTACGATAACGTAAGCACCTTTCACGCAGCTTTATTGAAAAAGATATATTATACACATTTGATTTAATTAAAAGGAAATGACCTTCAAGCGTCAACGGTTCTATTAAATACGAAAATCGAAGTAAAGACATCATTTTCTTCACTTTTAGATGATGGCAATTTCGATAGAAACTTAACAGGAATTTTTTAATACCAAAAAGAATAAATTTACATAAAAATATAAAGGCTAATTTAATAACTATGAACCTTTCAAACATTTTTTCCTTATATTCAAAAAAACGACATCGAATTGTCTTACCACAAAAACAAAATATTTTAAATATATATATATATAAATTTAAAGTTAGAATAAATAAACTTCGAGGTTTAAAATTGAGCCTTAATTTGAATGACCATCTAAAATATTAATGGAATCGTTTCAATTATCACATGATTTCTATGAATTATCAGCTCCAATACTTTTAAGATATTGGTGATATTGTTGTTCCATTTCTATAGTTATATCATAAATAAAATCATTTAAGTTCAATGAATAAATATTAATAAACAAATAAAAATAATTTTACCTTCGGTAATTTCAAATTCTAATTGTTTAGAATCAAATTCTAAATATGCAATTATATAATGTTATTTTAATGTGGATTAAACAATGATTTAATATGAACAAAAAAATTAGAGTTAAATTACCTTGTTGTTCTTCTATAATAATGAATGATGATTTAAAACAAATAAATGCAAAAATAATTAATAAATTAATAAAACCAAATAGGAGAAGTATAAAATATATTTACCATCAGTGGCATTTCTAGGTTTAATTGGAATGTTGAATGTATATACTTTACTCCTTTTTATTCTATTTATTTTGTATTTTATAATTAGATTATTTTTATCTTTTTTTGATATTAATTTAAAGAAGTTTTTGATTTTTGATTTTAAATTTTTTGACTGAATATCTGGTTCTTGTTGTCCATCCAATTCATTATATATAATTGGCTGTTGTTGTTTATCCATTTCATTATATAATGACTTTATCAATGATTTCATTTTGTTTCTTAATAGATATGCATCAGGTCTATTATCAGGATTAGCATCCCAGCATTGTTTTATCAAAGTAGCATATCCATGTGGAATATATTCGTAAATCTTTGGTCGACATCCTTTAACTATATCAAGAGTTAATTCCGAATCATGTTCATAATCATCAAATGGAGTTTCGCCAGTTATTATTTCCCACATTATTATGCCCATACTATATATATCTGATTTTGTTGTATAAATTTTACCAAAGATAACTTCGGGAGCGATGTATGGGAGATTCCCATAAATACTATTTGATGGTTTGCCAACTGGCCCACTCAATCCTAAATCACTAATTCTCCAGAGAATATCTCGTGAATTATATAAGATATTTCCTGAGTGCAGATCTCTATGTACTATATTTCGTTTATGAATATCATCTAAATTATCTGTTATATAATAAACCATACTATATTTTTGTAATAATGTAAGCGAATGATAATTATCTATTAAAAAATGTCTTAAATCCTTGTCGTAACGATTTAAAACTAACATATAATCTTGGGTACTTGGATCTTTGGTTATTCCATAACATTTAGCAAGAAATGTAGAAGTATTATCAAGTGTGAAACTTAATATCACCTGATAATTTTTTGTAATATGTCATTAATATTTCTGAAACCAACAAAAAATAATAAATTCAATAATAATTTAACTTACTTCTTGAAACCAATGAACATTATTATTATTTGAATTATTCGATTTTTTCAAAACAATCTTTTGTCCTCCAAATCTTTCCAATATTTGTCTTTCAGAATTCCATTTATCATAGGACCCATCTTTCCAAATTGCTGTGTAAATGGTAGCACATCCTCCTTCTGTCAGATATTCGACATCCTCAAATTGATCATATTCAATCCATTCAATTACTTTCTGAGGTGACATAGTTTTTTGCTGACATTCTCTAATTAATTTATCAATTTCATCATTTCCAGATTTCCAATTTGCGAAATTATTTTCTAAATATTTACGAATACAAAATTCACAATATTGGATTGCTTGATGCCAATACTGACAATTTTTGCATTGTTGTTTTTCTACAGAATTATTCCTAATTCTTAATGCGTCATATCTATCCAGTAATTGTTTAAATAAAAATTTCTTTTCATTTTCTGTAAGAGATGAATCATTTTCAATAAAATCTTTTCGATATTTTTCTCGCTCAGTAATTGTTTTATGAATATTGATGTCTAGAGAATGATATGACTTATCCCAAATACTATCTAATTTTTCGTTCCATTCAATTTTTTGAGCCGCCATTTACTATTTCATTCAAAGTTAATGTAAAATTTAAATATTAATTATTGCATAATTTATTGTTTAATAATATTTAAAATTAGTATAAAATTACCGTGGATGGGTTTTTTTGCTATTTTATTTAATAAAAGATTATAGATATGATTTATTATTTTAAATTGACTTTAATTATTTTACTAATTATAAAATTGGCGAGTATTTTGACCGCATGAGTCGCTTTAATGTATAGTATAAGTATGTAATGTTATAAATGAACGGGGCGCAGAATGGATACTTAAAACAAAAGATTGTCCTTGTTATACTTCTGTGTCACAAACAAAATTATTTTAGATCAAAATATTACATACATATCGGCTGATTGCGAAAGTCTTAAAATATTTTTTGAAAAATTTAAAAATCTCAAAATCGAAATATTTTATTAATACAGCTACTTCTCAACTCCTAAGTAAAAAAATACTGCACAAAATTTTACATGTATTCATGGCTTTTAAAAAATATTTATTAGTGAATAAAATTTTATATTATCCCTTAAACCGTCTAGCGGGCAAATTTGCCCGTTAAAAATTATTTTTGATTGACGTTTGTGTAATTACTCAAAGGGATACCTCGCAGCCTCAGCATAGCAAATTTCATATGACTTTAAAAATTTACAGATCATGACATAATTTTGATATTACCTTGTGACCTGACATTTCAGGTACTTGTCAAACCCGACCCTAACCCATAAACCCCACCTCTTACCCTGCGGAAATTCGTTTTATTTCTTTCCTCAAAGGTTAAATAACATTATTTTATCTTATTTTTTCAAAAGAACAACTTTACTTGGTGGTCAAAATCTGTTATCTATAATTTTTATAAGAGGTCAAATAAAAATGATTTTTGTGTAAGCCACTTTTTATAAAAAAATATGAATATAGATTAATGATTTTAGTGGCTAAATAAATAAAGAGTTTTAATAAATAATTATTAAACCAATTTCCAAATGTAGGATATCGAAGAAGCAATTCAAATTTAAGTAATAATATTTGAAGCAATAGTCAAAGAAACCTATACTAGATCTAACTAATAAAAGATAAAGTTAAAATAATGAATGAATGTATAGTAGGGAAGAATGTAACAATCAATAATAACAACGACAATAATAATAATAATGTTTTATAAGCGTATAAAGAAAACGAAGAGGAACTGAAAAGATTGATATTTTTATAAGTTTCGAGATAAATTTGATAAAGTTCAGATGAAATAATGGATAGAATTATGTGGAATAATAGAAGAATAATGGAATAGAACAATAACAATAAGGATAATTGATAATGATTATTATATAATTCTTTACGATAACATGAGACACCTCTCGCGTGGCTTTATTGCGGGGGATATACTGTACGCGTTTGGTTTGATCAAAAGGAAAGCGTCAACGGTTCTATTAAATACGAAAATCGAAGTAAAGACTTCATTTTCTTCACTTTATGACGGCAATTTCGATAGAAACTTAATAGGTATTTTTAATACCAAAAAATAAATATACATAAAAAACATAAAGTCTAATTTATAAACTATA